CTGAGTACCTTTAAGGGCTACTGACATGAAATGCATGATACATATATATAAATAAGCTTTTAAAAACATTCGCCTCTATGGACATCATCATATCGTACTCGCCCGTAATAGGCTCGGTAAAAACGTACCTGGCCATCATCAGGCTCGGTATAATTGTACCTGGCCACATGGAGCTCAGTAAAACCCAACTGATCAGTGATTGCACAATAGGTGTCGTACTCAACCGACTATAGCGTGGCTCGGTAGAGTAAAATAGATACATACATACATATATATATATATATACATACATACATACATACATATATATATATATAATGCATGTTGGACACATTGGAATCATGTTCTAAACCTTTCGGAGTGACGTAGGATCGTTGCACCTTCAATTAACGTTATGGACATCCATACCATCAATATGTACCTCAATAGGATTCAATGATCATACATACATGCTTATAATAACTTTATAAGGAAAGAACAACATGGACAATCTTAGTTGCTAGGAATAAATCCAATATGAAATAGCATATCGTTTACGTTTATTTCACTTTAGATCATGCCAAAAGAAAGAATGAAATGCCTTAACATACCTGTATGATCTCTTCCTTATTCGTCAACCAAGCTCAACACAACTTCTTGCATCTATAACAAGTGAAATGATATTGTCGTCAACATATAATGTCGTACCACCGTATTTGGCCAGTCGTATAGCTTATGAAAAATTGGGCAGCAACTCCCCTGTTTTTACTACATCCCAAACACCGCTGAGGGTCATCAATAGCCCAACAATAACCAACAATAGCAACAACAACAATATAATCCAATATGAGCTTCTCCGATTATCTTAACAACATTTTGAGCGGCATGCTCGTTTTTACTAATAACAAAACATAAATTGAATCCAACTCTTATTCCATAAATTGGTTAACAACCTTTAGAACATCATATTTATATGTACTATATGATTCCTAGTTTATAACATCCACAAAATGACTTCCAAAACAGCCCAATACACCTAGCACCCTAACTTTTATTGTCAATGACTTGCGTTTCACGTTTTCTTCTTCAATAAACTTAGTTAACACCTAGAAAATCTTAACAACAGCAGCCACAACATTATCAAATTATTTCTCATAATTTCCAGCCACCAGAAACCATATATGTGGCCAAAAAATAGTCCTGCCAAAAAGATAACCATGTCGCATGTTCTTTCAAGTGCTATCTTATGGGTTTTCACTCAAACAACACAACCAACAAAAGATTAACCTTAGGAACCATCAAGAAGATATTATACATACCTTGGACAGCAACTTTAACTCGAAATCCCATCTCATCTTAGCTCACAATAGCCCTCAATCACACCACAACATCATAGAAGCATTCTCTTGTAGTCTTTAACATTTTTGATAATGATTGAGTTGATCTCCCTTGAGTTTGGCTCTTGGGATCTTGGAATATGTTAGAGAGGTTTTTGGAGATATTTTGTATGAATTTTGGGCGATAAATGACCGGAAATTGAGGCTGAAACATCTTTTAAAAGAAGTAAGGTCGGTGGCCGTCTCAAGTGGGTACCAACAGGAGCTGATTGCGCAGTCTTGCAAAAATACAAATATCTCTCTACTCCAATATCATATCGATGAACGGTTTAATGATTTGGAAACTAGACACGTATATCTTCAATTTGATGGGTAGATCAGCTCATAAATCCAAGTACATTGAGAGAAACGCTCAGTAATATTAGACCTAAATTTTCAGTAAAATAATGAACGTAACTTGCAATAACTTTTTTCGACTTTTGTTTCATAACTTGCTTGGCTTCGAAACTTAACACGACTAAAATACCTCATAAAATTACCTTCTTATCATCTTAATCACCCTAGTCTCACCCCACGGGTTATAACATTCCCAACTTGCCGAGTTTCGACGGAACTTATTTTCTTCGATTCGGTTAGCTTCTTAACTTTCCAACCCTAACGATACTCCTTAAAACTTGTTTTAATCCATCATTATCTTTGTAAAGGTCCTTCAATTCTTTGACTCATATTGATTTGCTTAAGATGAATTCTAACTTGACAGTTCGGGGTGTTACATCCTATGTCTCTTCTCTATTTTCTCCTTATCTAGATGTATCTCGTGAGTCCTTGGGTGTTCCTGTATATTTTTCCACGCCAGTGGGTGATTCTGTTGTTGTGGATTGCGTCTACCGGTCCTGTGTAGTGACTTTCTATGGTTATGAGACCAGAGTTGATCTACTATTGCTCGATATGATATATTTTGAGGTTATCCTGGGCATGGACTGGTTGTCTCCGTACCATGCCATTCTCGATTGCCATGCCAAGACTATTACCTTGGTGATGCCTGAGTCTCCTAGATTAGAGTGGAGGGGTTCATCTATTAGTATTTCCAGTAGGGTTAATTCTTTCTCGAAGGCTCGACATATGGTCGAGAAGGGTTGTTTGGCGTATCTGGCCTTTGTTCAGGATACTTTTGCAGAGACTCCCTTGATAGATTCAATGCTGGTGGTATGGGAGGTTTCTAATGTATTTCCTGTGGATCTACCGGGTATGGCACCGGATCAAGATATATATTTCGGCATTGATTTGGTGTCGGGTACCCGGCCTATCTCTACTTTGCCTTATCGCATGGCTCTAAAGGAGTTGAGGGAGTTGAAGGAGAAGCTTCAGAAATTGCTTGAGAAGGGGTTCATCAGGCCAACGTGTCACCTTAGGGCGCACCGGTATTATTTGTGAAGAAGAAGGAAGGGAGTATGCGGATGTGAATTGATTACCGCCAGCTAAAAAAAGTCAACATCAAGAATAAGTGCACGTTATCGCGCATTGATGATTTTTTTGATCAGCTACATGGTGCTAGAGTGTTTTCAAAGATCGACTTGAGATCTAGGTATCAACAGATGAAGATTCGTGCTTCAGATATTTCGAAGACGGCTTTCCGGACTAGATATGGACACTATGAGTTTCTAGTGATGTCTTTCGGCTTGACTAATGCCCTGGCGGCATTTATGGATTTGATGAATCGAGTGTTCAGACCATATCTTTACTCATTTCTCATGGTCTTTGTTGATGACATATTGATATACTCGCGTAGTATGAAGGAGCACGAGCAACATTTGAGGTTAGTGATTCAGACCTTGTGGGAACAAAAGTTATATGCTACGTTCTCCAAGTGCGGGTTCTGGTTAGATTCGTGGCTTTCTTGGGGCATGGTGTATCAGGTGAGGGTATTAAGGTGGATCCTAGGAAGATCGAGGCAGTTCAGAGTTGGACTTGTCCTACCACAGCAACCGAGATCAAGAGTTTCTTAGGTTTAGCAGCTTATTATAGCCGATTTATGGAGGGTTTCTCGTCTATTGCAGCTTCATTGACTAGATTTACCCAGAAGGGTGCTCAGTTCAAATGGTTCGATGATTGCAAGGAGAGATTTTAGAATCTCAAGACCACATTGACTACAGTACCGGTGTTGGTTTTTCCCTCCGGTTCGGGGGTGTATACTATGTATTGCGATGCTTCACACATTGGTTTGGGTTGTGTGTTGATGCAGGAGGGGCAAGTTATTTCATATGCTTCACGTCATCTGAAGCCCCACGAGAAGAATTACCTGTGCACAACTTGGAGTTGGCTGCGATAGTTCATGTCTTCAAGATTTGGAGGCATTATCTTTAAGCAGTGTCCTGCTAGGTTTGCACGAATCACCACAGTTTACAACATTTGTTTAAGAAGAGGGATATTAATCTGAGCCAATGCAGGTGGCTTGAGTTACTGAAGGATTATGATATTACCATCCTCTATCACCCAAGCAAGGAGAAGGTGGTCGCAGATGCCTTGAGCAGAAAGGCCGAGAGTATGGGTAGTTTGGCATCCATTTTAGTGGAGGAAAGGCTATTGGCTTTGGAAATCCAGTCCTTAGCTAATCGACTTGTGAGTTTGGATATTTTACAGCCTAGTCGAGTTCTTACGTGTGTTGTGGCTCAGTCTTCTTTATTTGAGTGGATCAAAGCTCGTCAGTATGATGATCCACACTTTATGGTCCTTAAAGAGATGGTGCTATGGGGTGATGCCAAGGAGGTTAATATCGGTGATGATGGTGTTCTGTGGCTCCAGGGTCGCTTATGTGTTCGTAATGTAGAAGGTCTGAGGTAGACAATTCTAGAGGAGGCACACAGTTCGCGTTATTCTATTCATCCAGGTGCCACAAAGATGTATCATGAACTGTGGCAACATTACTGGTGGAGGAGGATGAAGAATGACATAGTTGAGTATATTTCTAGATGTCTGAATTACCATAAGGTTAAATACGAGTACCGGAGGCCAGGTGGCCTACTTCAGCAAATGGTTATACCAGAGTAGAAGTAGGAGTGCATCACTATGGATTTCATGGTTGGTTTGTCGCGGACGTTGAGGAAATTCGATGTTGCTTGGGTCATTGTCGACACACTAACCGAGTCTACACACTTTATTTTGGTGATGACTACTTACAATTCAGAGAGGTTGGCCCAAATTTATATTTAGAAGATTGTTTGGTTGCATGGCGTGCCTATTTCCATCATTTTGGATAGAGGCACTCAGTTCACTTCACATTTCTGGAGAGTTGTACAGAGGGAGTTGGGTACCCGAATAGAGCTCAGCACGACCTTTCATCCATAGATCGACGGGTAGTCAGAGCAGACAATTCAGATTCTGGAGGATATGCTCAGAGCGTGTGTGATTGACTTCGGAGGGTAGAGGGATCGATTCTTACCGTTGGTCGGGTTTTCTTATAACAACAGCTATCAGTCCAGCATTGAGATGGCTCAATTTGAGGCTTTCTATGGTCCTCGGTATCGTTCCCCCATCGGTTGGTTTGAGCCCAGCGAGGCTAGGTTATATGGTACTGATTTGGTAATTGATGCCTTGGATAAGGTAAAGTTGATTCAGGAGCGACTTCGCATAGCTCAGTCCAGATAGAAGAGTTACACAGATCAGAAGGTGTGTGATTTGTCATTTATGGTGGGCGAGAAGGTTTTCTTGAAAGTCTCACCAATGAAGGGTATCATGAGGTTCGGAAATAGGGGCAAGATAAGTCCAAAGTTCATCAGTCTGTTTGAGGTGTTGGAGCGAGTTGGAGAGGCTGCATACAGGCTTGTTATGCCTCCTAGACTATCGGGATTTCATTCGATGCTCAACGTGTCTATACTCCGGAGGTACCATGCTGACAGGTCACATGTGTTAGATTACAGTACAGTGCAGCTTGATGAGAGCTTGGGTTATGAGGAGGATCCAGTTGCCGTTATTGACATGAAGGTTCGCAAGTTGAGGTCTAAAAGGATTTCAACAGTGAAGGTCTAGTGGAAGGGTCAACCAGTCGAGGAGGCGACCTAAGAGACCGAGGACATGCGGAGTAGATATCCACGCTTATTCGGCACTTCAGGTATGATTCTAGACTCCTTCGAGGACAAACGTTTGTTTAAGAGGTGGAGAATGTAACAACTAGACCGATCGTATTACTTTCTAGATCCACGTTCCCCTATTTAAGACTTCCCGTATGTGTTTTTACTATTTTATTACTTGCGGGGATGGTTGGTTTTGTTTTGGAAGGGTTCGAGTTGAATTCGAAATACTTAGTTCCATAATAGTGGCCTAAGGTGGCCAAGTTTGACTCGAGTCAACATCTTTAGTAGACGTCCTCGGAATCAGGATTTGAAGGTTACAATAGGTTCGTATGATGATTTTGGACTTGTGCATATGTTCGGATCGAGTTTCGGGTGGACCGGGAGCGTTTCAGTGCTTAATGTTGAAAGTTGGCATTTTGAAGGTTTTAGAATTTCCTAAGTTTGATTTGAAGTGGAATTTGCCGTGATCAGTGTCCGTTGGGGATTTCGTGAATTGGAATAATTTTGTATTGTGATTTGTGACATGTACGTAAAATTTGATGTCATTCCGAGTTGTCTAAATGTGATTCGTCGCGTTTGGAGTTTGTTTAAATGAGTTTGGAGCTTAGAAATTGATTAATTTGGTTTTGAGGTGAGATTCCTAGTTCTGGTGTTATTTTATGTGTTACGAGGCTTCGAGTAAGTCTGTAGTATATTTATGGACTTGTTTGGTGCATTTGGACGGGGTCCCGAGTGGCTCGGGTGTGTTTCGGACCACCCGAAGCATAATTGAACTTGGCTGAAATTGCTGGTGTGGTGGTGTGCTTCGCAATTGCAAAGATTGTCCCGCGATCATGAACAAGGCTGTAGAAGGGTCTTGGACTTTACTCTTCGTGAACGCGATATGGACATCGCGAACGCGGTGAAGGATCTGGTCCTCCTTCGCGAACCCATAGGCTAGTTGGCGAACGCGAAGAAGGTTCGAGGTAGAGTGGGCTTGAAGGCTTTTGGCCTTCACGAACTCGGCTGGGGGACCATGAAAGCGAAAGGCAGGGGATGTTGGGCATCGCGAATGCGAGACTTAGGTCGCGAACGCGTAGAGGTAGGAGTTGGGTTGAGCCAACTTGGCCTTTGCGATCAGAAGGCCTTTTTCGCGATCGCGAAGGACGGGCCTGGGCAAACATGAATTTAATGTGAGACTTAGCTCTCTTTTTTCTCATTTCCACTTGGGTTGGCCGAATTTGGGGAGCTATTTTGAGGTAATTTTCATCAAACAACACAAGTAAGTGAATTCTACCCACTTTTGAGTTAAATACATAGATTATAGATAGATTTAACATTAAAATTAGTGGAAATTATCGAATTTTGTTGGAAACCTAGAGTTTGGTAAAAATGAGATTTGACCAAAATATTGATTATGGAATTTAGAATAAATTATATATTCCGAGTTCGTAACATCATGGGTAACATTTATCTTCGAAAATTTCCAGAATCCGGGTACGTAGGCCCGGGTTTACTTTTATGAACTTTCTGAATTTGGTTGGGAAATTCCTTTAATAGTTAAATTATGAGCTTTTGAGTATATATTGATTAGTTTTTACGGCTTTAGACTAGTTTCGGATTGCTCGGCGTCGTTTGGAGTCTACTAGTGAGGTCTTAGAGCCGAGTAGTGAGCTTGTTTGTTGCCTAACCTTGTAAGAAGAAATTATCCCCTTATGTGTATTAATTGTTGTGTTCTATTTGTTGTGGGAGCTACGTACGCACGAGGTGACGAGAGTCCGTACATAGCTATATTCATGTTATGTTCGAGTAGACTTAGATTCGCATCATACCTTAAATGTGTTATTTGTATTTACCTTGTATATTTGATTACCTTGATTTATGATGGGGATTGAGGCTAGAATAAAAAATTAATTATCTTATTTTGGAAATTTGTGGAATATCTGATGAACAATGGATCCGTGTCTTCTCGACTCGCATGTATTTTCGCGAGTGAGATAGTTTCTCTATTCTAATGGGATCGGGCAGTTCGACTTAGCAGTATTGTAAATTACTCTTATGGGATTGGATCGTTTGCCTCGGCAGCATGGTAACACTATTGTTATGGGATCGGGTCATTTGCCTCGGCAGTACTGTGTATCACTATTCCTATGGGATTGGACCATTCGCCTCGGCACTCGTACTTAATACTTGAGATTTGATTTGGTTTTGATATCAGTTGAGTTTGTGCCTTCGATGCCGGTTATGACATTTTAATGGTTTCATATTGATCCATGTTTGGAATTTATTATTAAAGTTTATCTGTTTTGTTGTTGCTTGTCGTTTTTCATACATGTCTACTTTATGTATTTTATTATTTGACCACTAGTAAGTGTCAAGTGGACCTCTCGTCACTACTTCTTCGAGGTTAGATTAGATATTTACTAGACACGTGTTGATTTACGTACTCATGCTACACTTCTGTACTGATTGTGTAGGTATCGAGGCAGCTACTTCCAGTGGTCATGCGGGCCCATAGACGCATCGCACGGAGACTTAGCGGTGTGCTGCCTTCCATGCTCCGATCTGCAGCACCCGGAGTCTTCCTCTACCTTATTTATTGTTTCTATCTAAATTTTTTTTTTCAAACAGTAGCTGTAGTAGTTTTGTATATTTTCTAGATTGCTCGTGCACTTGTGGCACCAGATTTTGGGGGCTTCTAGTGGACGTCCACAGTTGTACTTGTTATCACATTACTTTATGTACTATACGTACCCGTTATTTTGGTAAAGCAGTGCGTATGTTTCCATGAGTTCCATGTTTAGTTCATATTTAGTTAATGAATTTTAAGTTTAAAGGCTAAGTTTGGATAATTAAATTGGAGGTTCACTGTTGGCTTGTCTAACCACATCGTTGGGCGCCATCGTGACCTATGATGAGATTTGGGTCATGACAGTTTATGACACATTGCTAACTAATTAAGCCTAATCTAATTATCAGTTTAAGTATAGATTTAAGCTAATAATCAAAATTTAAAAAAATGGGTAAAAGCCTTTGTTCTTCCATCTTCTTCGATTGTGGTTACCTCTTTTATCAACTTGGATTCTCCCTATTAAACCTCAATTCAATCTCCGTTTTTTTCATTAGCCTTCGATTCATTGTAAATTTTGGTTTAGTACGAGATTTGGGATGAAGAAAAGTAGGGTTTGACAAGAAAAGAAATTATGGAGAAATGATTACGAAAACATCAACAAAAAAGGTCATCTCAGGAGAAATAAAAGAAGAGAAAAGTTACCGATGGAACCCATAGGAAGAAAGGAAGAAGAAAAGTAAAAAAAATAAAGAAATAAGGTGTGAAAACAAAATTTGGAATATAAAAAAAAGTTGAAGGGAAAAAGAAATTGAATTTTATAATACTAATCAACCGTTAGAGTATGCCAAGTGGGGCAAATTTATGGATAATTTCATCTTCCACGCGCCTTTAGACAAGTTATCTCATATATTTTTCCAAAAAGTCATCGAGGGGTTTTTTTATAACTAAAGAGATGTTGTTCAAGAGGGTTTTGTAGACACCGAATACTTCAAGTTGGAATTTAACAAAAACGTAATTGTTTAAGGAGATTTTGGGGTATTAACTCAATGAACAAGTATTTCTAGCTCCTTTAACGTTTTAGGTCAAACTTAAGTTTGGTCATGCATTTTAAAACATATTATATATCCACAATTTAATACCTAAAACAAGACAAGTGAGGCTCAATTGGTAAAGCACCGCCACCCACGATCATTAGATCCTGAGTTCGAGTCACGCTGGAGGGGAAGTATGAAAACACAATATAATCGTCCCAAATTAGGAGGAAATATTAAAAAAAAATTACCTAAAACTTAAACTTCTGGTTCTAAAATCCAAAATAATACTACTTTAAATCAATGTTCCAAAATTTTCCCACGCACAGTACGACAAAGTACATAAGAACTAATGAAACTAATAATAGATATTAAGATCAGTATTATAAATATATTATATTATGGATGTTCATACTCCGTTGTAAATAAGCTTCCTGAAGAAGTTTATCCATATGGGGCTCCGCCGTAAATATGTTTATCTATTTAGTACTCTATTGGAAATAAGCCTCCTGAAGAAGCTTATCACTTCGGTACCCGGTTATGGATAAACATTACTTTTAGTATAAGATTATCCATATCTGGTATAGTAGCAGCTTACACAACAGCTTGTAGTAGCTTACACAGCAGCTTACAGTAGCAGCGTACACAGCAGCTTGCAGTAGCAGCTTACACAGCAGCTTCCTTTCTTCTATAAATAGAAGAGATTTCAGTTCATTATGTACATCAGTTTGAATTCGAATAATATATCAGTTTCTCTCTACACTTGTCTTTACTTTACAGTCTTTATTTTATAACACGTTATCAGCACGAGACTCTGCTATTTTGAGCACTTACTTCGAATTTAATTTCTATTTCAGTGTTCATCTCTGATGTAAGGCGACACTCTTACGTTCGTGGTTAGATCTTGTTCACTCCGAGCATCATAAGGCAGGTTATATCCTTGAGGTGATGAGCTTTTCTCCGTGGCAATAGTGATGTGGATATCACTTACGTCTGGAGTGGCCAAATTTGTGTAAAGTAATTTGAGCTTTTTGCTTATATTTTGTTTAATATCTTTATCATCGCTTGCTTGGTTATATGCTACGTATACGGTACCTATTTTGGTATTAGTTTTCATCCTTATTATCTTAATAAAGGATTATAAAGTGGATAACATTGTTAGATCCACTTAAACTCCAGCAGAGTTTGCAAGAAATATATAACCACCAGAAGTGCTTATGTTTTGTATATCTCATTGTAACTAAATTCTGTTAACAACCAGAAGTGGTATGTGCCTATAACCACCAGAAGTGATAATTTAGGCTTTCAATGGTTACAATTAAAGATAAGCTAGAGAAAATTTCTCTATATTACTTGCATGCCTCGATTTGCTCC